CCCAGTAGGATTGGAATAAAACTAAATGAAACCAGTTTGTCTATCTATGGGACTTTGCAGACTCTATCTGCACGTAATTTTTGTTTTATTCTATCAGAACTGAAACAACAAAATGTAATCAACATTCCTCAACAGACTCTTGATGATTTAAATACTTTGTTAAACTGATTTCAATTAAAAGATTAACCAAGCTTCGAGATGGAAATATTTTTGTAATTAAATTTTTTTGTTTTGGTTATTTCATTATTAATTATAATTATGCTTACCTATATGGTTCTATGAAGAGTTTCAATTAGCCTATGCTTTAAAATTAATGTTTATGATCTTTCTTAATAGTTTAGAATCAGTTATAAAAAGTCCTTTAGGCCTTTAGTTACGGGGGAAGCCATGTTGGCGCGACTAGCCGCTGTCGTACAATTCGTTCAGTTGTTTTTCCCACTCATCGCACACGTAAAATGCGCCGCTCTAGCGTGGGTCTTAAGAACTTAACGCCCTAAGGTCATTCATACACCTAACAAGCACGCCTCCGGCACAGCTCCAACCCAGCATTTAACTTGTCATTTAAATATCAACTTAAAATCGTATATCGTAAAACATAAGATATATTTTATAATCTTGAGTCGGTAATATTATGATATCCGTATATAGAGCACCGGTGGAGCACAAATGTATTCAACTCTGCTATCATCACAAATTTAAACTGTCAAACACCAAGCGGTCACCGGTGACCGCAATCTATTGTTCTATAATTGTGTCTACAATGACGGTACTCGACGAGTTGAACGAAATATTAAATAAATGTGGTTTTTATAAAAGAAACAACGTTGCAATTTATTGAAAGCAATTGCTTCTGACTTTGCTGTCGGCAAGAACAAAGTTTAAATGCAATTAAATAGTCTCCAGAGCTTTATTGTTTTCAAAAGAGATGTTATTTACAGTTGTAGGTATTTTGCTAGACATTACTGTTTGTAAACACTATTGTAAGGATTTATTTATTTATAGTAATTTGTTCTTAGAAATAAATCACTCTCGTAAATCAGGCTACTAAGGCTTAAGTGTGGGAGACCATGCTTTGACACGGATGGGCCGGCTCGACTGGAGTGATACCACGGCCGAGCAGAAAACAGACGTGAAACAACGCTTGCATTGTGTTTCCAGGCCTAATTACCCCCCCTTCCACTCCCCTCCCCAATCTCCCCTATTCCTGAATCTCCAACAATCCCCAATAGCCCGGTAACACACTTGGAAGGCCTCTGGTGTCCCAGGTGTCCATGGGCGATGCCGATTGCTTACTATTAGGTGGCCTATGTTTGTTCACCGGCTTATATAATAAAAAAATACTAAAAGTTATTGCTTATTATGTTTATTTTGTAGCTAAAATTTAAAAATTTTGTTCAAAACAAGTTAGTTTTTTTTCCTCACGCTGTTGTCAGGATTAGTATTACATGTTTTACATGTTTTATATTAGAGGTGAATGACTTATTAATGTTAACAAAGGTCGCTTTTTTAAATTATAATATAACATTACGCCTTTTTATCCCCGAAGGGGTAGGGCACAGGTGCACAATTCGGCACTTAATGCCACTGTACAATGTAACACCCACTTTTCACTATTTATGTTGTGAGTCCCATGTAATAGGGGGTGAGCCTATTGCCATATACCGGGCACATTTCCAGACTCCGTGCTACTATTGCGAATTTTAAAAACCCAATAAACTTTTCCCTACCCGGGAATCGAACCCGAGACCCCTTGCCCGGTAGCCGTACTTGCGACCACTCGGCCAACGAGGCAGTTTTAAATTATCTTAGTATAAAACAATGACTTACGGTTAAAGTCTTAAAGTTAATAATAAGTTTAGTGCTCTAAAAAACAGTTCACCCTTGTTTGATCGAACAACGTTTCACATAATATTACTAAATCGAACAACGTTTAACAAAATCATCACTTAGTATAATATCGTTTGAACGAATTTTCTATTTCTATATTTATTTGCTATAGCAACATTTGCGCGAATGATTAAAATGTAGGTATATCATTCATTTAATGTAATGTTCAGATAGTATATTTTGAAATAGAAAACAGTTAAACAAATTTTAAAATAACTTGCAATTGCTTTTAGTAAATCTAAATTTTCTAGCAGCAGCAGGTTAAGAGAGAACTGTGACCCTCACAACTATATCACTCACCATTTTTCAAATCTTTTCACACTATTTAGCTGATTATATACACCTTGAACGCCATGGGGGACAAGGTATTGGCCACGATAGCGGAGGATTTACCCTCAACAATTTTCTGTCGGCAGTCATTACGGCACTTAATGCCACTATATAATGTAACACCAACTTTTCACTATTTATGTTATGAATTCCATGTAATAGGGGGCGAGCTTATTGCCACGGACCGGGCACAATTAAGACTCCGTGCTACCACGAAGAGGTTTTTTAATAGCTCAGGAATACTTTACCCGACTCGGGAATCGAACCCGAGACCCCTTGCCCGACAGTCGCATTTGAAACCACTAGGTCCGCCAGGCAATCTAGTAACATTAAATCTAGACAACAAAATTATGTATTTAGATAGAATTATTTAGGAGTTCCCTATTTTAATAATTCTACTCCAATTTCAGTTATCATATTAATTGTAGAGCCATTTCTAAAGCCTCGTGATGAATTCTTAATAGGGAACGCGAGAATTCCTTATTTCTTTACAGGTCAATCACCTTATATTTTGTCTCGTAAATTATTCAAGTTTATTTTTTACTTTCATGTTTGAGTGAAATGAAGAAAGTTTTATTACATGAGACACATAACATAAATAGTGAAAAGTGGGTGTTACATTGTTTTTGCACAGAAGGTTCGTAGTGGACATATTTTGAGTTATTTTAAGATAAGGATTTTAAAATTACGACAATAAACTATTCGACTTAAAACTCGCTCTGTTTTGAAGTCCATTAATATTTCTTTTTTTTTTCATGGCATAAGCCGGTAAACGAGCAGACGGATCACCTGATGGTAAGCAATCGGCGTCGCCCATGGACACCTGGAATACCAGAGGCGTTACAAGTGCGTTACCGGCATTTTGGGGATTAGGTTAGGTTATTATATTATTGTACCAAAATCTGCAATTAAGTGCACAAACACTTTTGAAAAGTGCCTTAAAATCTGTTCAGCCAATCGGGAGATACTGACGGATAAACAATCATACATAATTATATTACATGCAGGTCATGGTGAAACCTCCTTCTTTTTCGAAGTCGGTTATAAAGATTGTTAATGACACTGATAAATAATATTTTTATTTAGTTTTCCGCACAACATGACTATTAGAGTAGGCTGCGCGACATCGCTGCAACCGCGCACGCTGTTAATGAGGAAGAACCCCTTGGTTGTTCGAAACTAGTAGAGCTTTACTCAGTATTTTCATGTGAGTAACCCGCGATTTCTTGTTAATGTATGATCTCACGATAGTTATTATAAAAACATGTGTGTAGTGTAGTGTGTGAAAAAGCAATTACTTTGTGCTTATCTCACATTAAGGTACCTTTATCTTCATTTGCTACGAATGCTGCGACTGCTACGGCGTAGCAATTTACTCGTAGCTACAAAACCTTTTAAAATGCCTATTGTGCAACAATACAACTTAGTACTAAGAAGTTGTTTTTCATAGCAAAACTAAAATTACCTTATAAAACATGAAAAACCTTTTAGTTTTGCTTCTAGATTTAGCTTTTTACTGAGAACGACTGACCAATTTAAATGATTAGATACCTTTTTATTTTAAACTAGCAGCCCGTCGCAGCTTCGCCTGGGTGCTATTTTCCGATGTTCCCGATGAGAAACAAGTAAATTTATTTCTACAAATAGGCTACAAGGCAGCACTTTTACACGTACATTTTCCAAGCGAACGATGAGGTCGATGTTTCCTAACTGTAGTCAGTTAGGAATAAATGCTGAAACAAACTCAAGAGATCCGGCTCTTTTAAAGTCCAGACAATTGATGAATGTATCGAGTCTTTAAACTTTATTCTAACGATAATAAACACGTTAAAAAATAATTATACAATTCTTTCTTCTTAATTTTTTTGTCTTTAAGAAAAAACCGTTGCCCCACACTAGGATTTTCTCCTGTGTCGTGTGCGTTTACAAACACACAAGTTCACATACACATGACACCCAGACCCGGAACAACAATATGTGGATCACACAAAGTGTTGTACCGCGCGGAAATCGAACCCGCGACACGTTGCACGGCAGCCGGTATCCCAGCCACCGCACCAACCGTGCAGTCAAATTCGATGCAGTCATTCCACAGTTATGGGTGTACATAATAATATATTTTGGTCATCCATTTTTATTAATATAGCTTACTTTTGATACTAATTCAGGAATCGATGGTAAAACGTCCCTCAGACAATTTTCACACCATCAAAACATCATCATCGATGGTCATTGCAAAATACGGATAGTCCCTTTGCCTTAATGCTGCTGATAAAATCTGAGACGACATTCCATTAAGCAGTTTTTCTTGTAATTTATTATGAACGAAATCTTTTCCTTATTGGCTTTGTTTATCATGTTTCAGCATAAAGTATCCGGAATGACGAGGACAGAAAATAATATGCGGAATTTAACCAAATTAAATTACATTATGTTAGCTTGTGTCAGACAATTTGTCTTCGCCTTTATCCGATGCGGCTAACATTATTTCACAAGATATTTTTTAATGTTGGTATCATGCAGACTAAGGAGTGCCTTCACCGTAGGCGGACATTGTTAATTTTACTTTCCTTGGTAAAGTTCAAAGTAAAAATGCACGAAGCATTATCAACAATTCAAAATACTCAACGTATTTTTCTTATCTCAAGCTCAAATCTTTCACCAACTTCATAATAGCCCTTTATTGAATTTTCAATTTGGAACCTTGATTATCATTTACCAAGCAAAACTTACTGTATTTTCAGAGCTACCACATATCTAATAAGGTATAATTTTGTCCACAGCTGCTGTCGTGATAGCATTCTTCGTATGCTGGGTTCCGTTCCACGTACAACGTTTGTTTTTCATCTACGGGTACGATCTGCCGCAGTTCCACGTGATAAATGAGCATCTCTTCAACGTGGCTGGTGCTCTGTACTACGTGTCGGCTACCGTCAACCCGATACTATATAATGTTATGAGTGGCAGGTGAGATAATTATATTCTGTTATATAATACTTATATACACGGCTACAATTTAGCTATACAAAACCAGTTTAACATTGTCTCGGTTTGTGTGGTTTTTCCGCGCATTCGACGGTGATTTTATACTGGTTTGGTCTAGTCGTGTGTACTGTATCAACCGGAGTGATACCACGGCGTCAAAGAAAACCGACGTGAAACAATACTTGCGTTGTGTTTCGTCGTATGGGTAAGGTTACCGAGACAGCCCAATTACCTCCCTCCCCAATCTCCGCAATCCTAATCCTCAAAATCCTAATCCCCAAAAGGCCGGTAACGCACTTATAACCTCTGGTGTTTCGTGGTCACATCTGGTGATCTGCCTGTTCGTTTACCGGCTTATTCTAACGTTCCTCAAAAGGTGATTTCCTAACGCCATTACACCAACGAAACCAACCGAATATTAGAACAGGTATGCCCGAATCTCGGGACCTTATAGACATTAAACTAATAGTTGTTGGTCACTAGACGGATGGCGGTAAAACCCATTACAGACCAACCAAAATATATTGACCTCTTATTGTAATTAAAATGAGCAAAATACATAGTTCTACTTAAACTGTCAAACACCAAGCGGTCACCAGTGACCGCAACCTATCAATACATAGTATAAAACAAAGTCGCTTTCGCTGTATGTCCGTATGTATGCTTAGATCTTTAAAACTACGCAACGGATTTTGATGCGGTTTTTTTTAATAGATAGAGTGATTCTTAAGGAAGGTTTGTATGTATAATACATGCATATTGCACCCGTGCGAAGCCGGGGCGGGTCGCTAGTTGTTCTATAATTGTGTCTATAATGACGGTACTCAATGAGTTAAAATAGACATAATATAACATCACGCCTTTAACCCCCGAAGGGGTGCACATTACGGCACTTAATACCACTATACAATATAGCACCTACTTTTCACTATTTATGTCACGAATCCGATGTAATAGGAAGCGAGCCTTTTGCCACATACCGGGAACAATTTCAGACTCCGTCCTACTACTGAGAGTTTTGTTAAAAACCCAGTAATACTTTGCCCGGCCTGGGAATTGAACCCGAGACCCCTACATAGGACTAATAACATAAATAGTGAAAAGTGGGTATTACATTGTACAGTGGCCGTAAGTACTGTAATATGGACCTCTGCCTACCTCTTCGTGGATAAAAGGCGTGATGTTTATGTAATTAACTGAACTACTAGAATAAATCCGTACATATGTGTCTGTAATACAAAGAAAACAGAACATACGTATTTCTCTCATCAATATAATACATCTGCCGTACCCGTTATTACTTACCACAAAGGCGTCTTCAAATTGATATCACAAATAAATTATTTTTATTATTGTCTACTGAAAGCTGTCTGCAAACGTCAATTATTTCTAAGATATGACGAGAGAAAGAACAAAGAAAGAAAATACATACAACATAATATACGTCTAGAGCAATATATGTCAACGTTGTTTTCATTGTAACTCAGTACACCTTTCTTTGATAATAAAATAAAACCGTGCTTTTTGTTGATAAGCGTAATGAGACCAGACAGACATACATTTACTCTTTTTACCCCGAAGAATATATATTATTAAATACTTATATAGGTACTAATGATTCGTCGAATCTCAATAAATAAACCTACAGTCATACAGAGTATTACTTTTTTCTGACTTCTTTAGTTAAAGGCATGATTTCTAAGAGAGTACCCACATTTTTAGAGACTAAACGACTTGACGATGTCTTTTATGTTTATGTCAACATTAGAACCAAATAATTGTTTTAGGCATGAAAGAGCGTAATCAGTAAACAAATAAACTGTTGCGTTTAATGTAAATATTACTAAAGTACAATTATTAACACTTACATTTACTAGCGACACTAAAAGCTAAAATTTAATCACAACTATGATTACCTACTAATGAAATTAATGACTAATTACACTTTCGACACAGTTTAAACAGTTAGTTTAAACAACATACCCTAAGAACTTAATGAAATTATTTAATAATAATATTATGAAAGCCGAGCGCGCTACGTTTAACGAGTTTCATAATAGTTCCAATAATGGCTTCCACCTATTGATATTAACATAGTTTAGGGAGTTAGTTACAGTTCCTGTTAATAACTGGAATGATGCCGAAACTTTTAACGCAATTTATTATAGGTAAGCGGTTTAGAAATTGTTCGGAATAGGGCCCCTACTAACCGGTTAATATCACTTTGAATATATGTACATCCATCCACAAGTCGTGACTATTGGACTATAGGCCTCCTTTATAATAGGATAAAACCCTTTTACGGATAGAGATGAAGGAGAAGGAAGGAGATTAAGTGTGGGAGAGCCATGTTTTGGCACGAATGGACCGGCTCGACCGGAGTGATAACTCGGCCTCACAGAGAACCGATGTGAAACAACGCTTTTGTTGTGCTTCGTCGTGTGAGTGAGGTTTCCGGAGGCCTAATTACTTCCCCCACGTACCCAATCCCTGAACCCCAGATAATCCTCAAATTTATAGTCCCCAATAGGCCGGTAACCTGTTCCAGATTTCCATAGGCGATAGCTATTGCTTACCATCAGGTGGTCCATTTGCTCGTTTACCTGTTTATTCTATAAAAAAAATGTCATAATCTCTACCTTTGGCAGGCGGGCTTCATCATCATCATGTCAACCACAAAACTTCCATTGCTTAAAATAGACCTCCGTCAGTTACTTCCAGATTGGCTGCCAGGTTGCATATCGCAGTTTAAACGAATCAAGTTTATCCGATAGCGCTTCTGTCCGGTTTTTGTCGAATATGTAGTGATTTATCCAACTCTTATGACGCAGGAAGAGTAGAGGTGATGACAAACGAATTCTAGTATGCCGTCATCACTAAACGAACTCTTAACTATGAGGTAAACAATCAGTAATGTTATGAATATGAATTCATCAACACGGCAACGTGGCTTAGCGCTCGATTATTGTGGCATTGTGATGAGTTCATGACACAATTAACATATTATCATGATAATGAGAAACAAACAGTAAAATCCTGCACATCATTTGTTTATATGCTAACCTGGAGAGGGATTTACCAATTTCACATCATTATTAGGTTATGACAAACTAAAGATGGACAAATATTTTTAATATTTCTATGTCATCATCATGATCCCGGATCCGAAACAAATACCAGTAAACTATAATACGGTAGTTGAATTGAAATATCAAAAACGATACTCTACTATACATTTTATATTGGATGGCAACTTATGACGTCATCATATTTCTGCGTCAAATAGCATACTTATTTCCTTAAAATTAACTAGAAAAAATTCAAAAGTAGGTAAATTGTCAAAGCAATGGATGAGATGAGAGTATGATTATTTTTTAATTATTTATTGCATCGAAAAGTTGAAACAATTTATTTTAATCCCAGGAAACTAGCCAATTATGCATGTTTGAAAATCATAACAACGTGTTAAACAGAACATTGTTTACCAAAATAATGCGATAACCATAGCGTCAAATCTTCAGTGACGTGTCTTGCCATGTCAAGACAAAACCACAACTGAAATTACAAACAGAGCCGGAAAACAGAATCCCTGATTTCAATTAACAAACAAATATATTATGTTGACAAAGTTTTCCGACATATTGTATCTGTTTACATGAGTTATATAAACATAATACGTATATTGTGTACCTACTCTCTGCTTTAAGAATTTGTAATAATATTAAAATAAATTATATAATCTAGTAAGTCTGCAGATGCATACTTATATGCCGAACAAAAGACCTCGGAGTCAGTTGTGGGGTTGAGCAAAGTTATTATTGGGTATGTTCCTGTAAATTGTCGTTAATAGCAGGAATCTGGATTTATTATAGCCGCCCATGGGGGTGTCCATGCAACATCAAAATAAATGTATGACTTTGTGTTATGTTAAAATTAAATCTCATGAAACAGGTGTACATTCAAAACCAATAGTTCAACACCTTATTGACACTATTACTGTCACAAACTGTTTGTGGTTTCGTGGTAAAAGAGCTTAAACTTCGTGACAGATTGACAACTAATTGATATTAGCATAAGCTAGTTTGTAATCCCCTAAAGATGTGTTTGGTAACTTTGTAATAAGGTAACACGCGATATAATTATGTTTATAGAGGCTTATCTACTTATCTGTGTGGTTTCAGCCCTGGTATTAGTATGTCAGGTTGATAGTAACAAGTTAATAACTATAAACTTAAATAAATTATTATGTTTTCGGCTTACTCACGTAATTATTTGACGAGGAAGTCGACTAGTTTCAAGCCATGCTCCGACTTCTAACCTCAGTGGGTGGGTAACCTATCAGTACTAATGATAGTTATTTTTAACTTTTCAGTTCTGACTTTTTGTTTGTTATTAGTTTTTGGTTTTTTGAAGTCAGTTTTTTTATATTCTCAAATAAAAGAAAATAAACAATTCATTTACATGTTTGCACCAGATTTATTGTCAGCGCGAAGCTTATCATAATAACGTACACAATTACTTTTATGTTATGTGTGCGCTTGATTACACAAATCTGAACCTTACGGCTGAGATAACAAGAAACACGCAACGATATTAAACGTTGACAGTGATGCGTAAAGGTATTCCTTTTTGAGTCTGCATTGCACATCGCTATTTGTGCGACGTACATACAAAGTAAATTCTATTTTTAAATCTGTTTATACAATTAGGAGCAAAGACACGGAGCCACTATCATTGTTTTTTTATTTTATCGAACCTTCTCTATAACTTAAAAAAAACATTATATTTACAACAAAATATTCGCATTTCAAAAGTAATTAAATTACCTTTTATACGACATACGTTACCGATTAATAAAATACTACATAAACATAACATCACGCCTTTTATACCCGAAGGGGTAGGCAGAGGTGCACACAGAAGTAACACCCACTTTTCACTATTTAGAGGTATGTTATAAGTCCCATGTAATAGGGGTAAAC